CGAAAGAATCAATAGTAAAAAAAAAAAAAAAATATACATATATATATGAAATTTAAAATCATGATATTTTAATCGAACGGTTTTTTTAAATTTTATTTTGAATTACGTTAAAATATATATATATATGTAATTGTAATTGTCATTATTATTATTATTAATTTAATTTTGTGATAAATATGGTTGAAAAGTTCATAAGTGACACAGACATAAAAAAACTATTAGAATGTTCGAGGTGTAAAAAAGTACCGAATAGTGCACCGATTTACATGTGTAAAACCGGTCATCATGAATGTTCGATTTGTTATGAAATGTTTTTTAAATCTAATAAAATAGAAAAAACTCCCGATGGATCGACAGATACCGAAAGTGAATCCGGTTAGTAAATATGAAAGGATTTATAATATTTAGTAATAATCATTATTATTAATATTATTATTATTAGTAATTTTTTTTTTTTAAACAGTTAGGTCACCTTTTACGCGTTTATATTATGGCACACACACACGAGTGCGATGAACTACTTTTAAAAATTTTATTTTTAGTCTACATTTATAATAATAATAATAATAATAGGTTTTTATTATTATTATTATTATTATTATTATTATTATTATTATTATTATTATTATTATTATTATTATGTAGATTTAACGTATGTGCGGTTTTATGTAATAATATAATTGAAAATTTAACGTTCTGTTTTACTATTTTTTTTTTTTATAGAGTAAAATTATTTTTATAGGCGCCATTCTCTTTAGTTTTTTTTTTTTTTTTTTACATTTAATATTGTACTCGTTGTTGTTGTTGTAGTAATGACGATTTAAATTTATTATTATTATTATTTTTTTTTGTTAATAATTTTATTTAAAAAAAAAATGAAAATAAACCCTAAAAAAAAAATTATTTATGTAACATTTACAAAATTATTATAATAAAATTTTTTAATAACTTTATATTTACGCAACGGTAGTGGTGGTGGTGGTGGAGGGTTTTTTGTAGAATTTTTCGGTTGTTTGCCAATTACAAATGTCGAGTTAAACGTTATTATTATTATTATCGTTTACAGGTTCGTCGAGGCAAAAACACAAATGCGGGATTTGTAATGAAAAAATAACAAAAGTACGAAACATATTGGCGGAAAATTTACTTTTACAACTCGATTTGCCGAGATTCGATACGAGAAACAATAACAAAACGGATTTTTATTCATTGATGAAATATAACAACGTTCAAGAAGTTAAAAATCAAAATTACGTCGAATGTTGTTATAATATTTACGAATCACCGTGTCAGCAGTACGGACAGCAAACGATGCCTATGCTACCATACGATCCACAAGGATATAATAGATACCCGGTACTTTGTCCGACTACACCTCAATTTAATTATCAAATGGGTTCGTATTTAATGACCGAACCTCAACCTCCACCTCTCGAATACGTCGATCCGAACGTTTATTATCCCGAAACTGATAATTCTGGAGGATATGCGTGGGGAAATCGTGGGAAATGCGTCATAGAAAGAAGAAGCAGATTAAATTTTAATATTCAAAATGGTAGCAATCCTTCATTACCCGGAGAATCTTCTAAAAGGTATTAATAACAACAACAAAAACTTTTACTCTATCATTATTATTATTATTATTATTACTTATTAAGAAGCATCATTTTTTTTATAATAATAATAATATTACTTTTTTTTTTATTACTATTATTTTTAATTATTACTTTGGTTATTAGATAATTTTAATTACTTTTAAACTCGTTAAATATTTTAAGGTAGTATTTTCATATTATTCGTTGAAGGAAATTTTTGCAATAATAATAATAATAATAATATTTTTTAACGTAAAATATTCGACCGTGATATGAATTAGTTTTACAACCGGATTTTTAAAAAAATCATAAAAAGATTTTAGTGTTTTTTTTTCTTTTACGACAAAAAGAAATGACATAATCCGTTTAGAAATAATAATAATAATTAGAATATTTAAACCTGTGTAATTTTCACAGGTGAAAAAAAATATCACGTGGTGATAAAACTATGCACTTTTTTTTTTTTTAGGCCAATAAGATGTCCGACGCATTTATGCGGTCGTAACATAGCCGTGGCAGCATTGAGCTCACATTTTTGTTTCGATCATCCCGATGTGCCATCTTTAAATGTTGATTTTGACGTGCCTTGCCATTTATTTATCGATCCAGAAGTTATACCATTCGATTATGGTCGTTGCGTTGCCATTCTACTCATACCCTATAAATGGTAATTAATAATAATAATAATGATTATTAATCGGTTAATGTAAATAAAAGGATTTTTTTCGTTATGAAAAAGTACGGTCGTCATTTACGTAGTAAGCACAAGTTAAAAAAAAAAAGGAAATTAAACGTGGTAAAAGAAAGGGAGAGAAAGAGAGAGAGAGAGATGATGATGGAGTATATAAATTATACCGTAGAAAAAATAAAATTGTTTAGAAAGTATAGAATAAAATTATAGACTATTTTTCATTCGTGTGTGTTGTGCGATGCGAAATTAAAAATTCATAATTAAAAAAAAAAAAAAATTATTTTAAGGACCGTATTAAGTATTTATCGATTTAAAAACCCCCCAATCGAGAGTAAATTATATCAAACGAGGAAAATAAAAAATATCGCTTACTCTTAAAACTTTTCTCGGATATTTGCTGGTGGTTGTTTTGTACGATTGTACGACCGTTTGTCTGTCTGTATATGAAGTGTTGTTACATTATTGTTCTCTTACGTTACGTAATATTAATTTGAAAGTGGTTTTCAATGCATTTATAAATTATTTAAATATATAAATATTTTTACCTTTTTTTTTTTACTGACGATTTGATTGAAAGAAAAAAAAATTATTATGATTTCAGCGGCGAATCTAACAGTTCTGCAAGTCACACAAACATAACAAACGGAAATAAAATAAAAAATTCATTGCCTTTAGTTGTAATGGCGTCAAAATTGGATTGTTCAACGGTTTGTCAATCGTCTTTAGGTAACATTAAAGAAGATATACAATCGGAAGTATTGAATCATGGTGATTTTCAATCTGAGGGGTTAGTATTATTATTATTCTCGCTAATAATCTCAACCATTAAAATTATTTATTAATTACAGTTGTTGTTGGTATTTAAGGTTCTTCTTCTTCTTCTTCATTTATTATTTTTATTTATTATTTAATTTTTTTTTCCCTTTCAAGTAAAATTATATAATTTTTTTTAGTACGATATTTGAAATCACGTGATTTAAATTGTTTATATATATTTGTTTAACAGAAATAAAAAGTCTTGTGTTATTGTTATATGGCTAGCCGGAGTCGACATGAGTTGTTTAGCATTTACAACGATACAAGTTTGTGAAAAACAAAATAATACTAGATCTGTTATTTACACGGGACCCATTATATCATTAAGGTGATATTAATAATAATAATAATAATAATTTTTTCGTTAGTTATCCTTAATTAAAAATCGTAATAAAAATTTTTATAAAAACATATCATTTTAGCACACACTTAAATTTTTTCTTTTCTGTAGGATCGAAATTTAGAAAAAAAAAAAATTGATTGTTTTAAATATAAATATACCTGTATTTCAGGACTAGTCAATTAACGAATAAAGTTCTAGAACAAGGAGATTGTTTGGTTATACACGCCGGAATACTCAATAACATTATCGGAGAAAAAGGAGGTTTTGATTTACACGTTATGGTGCATTGAGCTAGTCAGTTATTTATTTTTCTTTTTTTTGATATACAAAACGAGAATTTTAAATACGTATATACAAAAAAATATATATATATTTATGTACATATGTATATATTTAAATAATAATTATTTTTTTTAATGACGAAGAGAAAAAAAAAAAAAAATTATCGTATGTTGTAAATTTTAATTTTTTAGGTGAGTGATAAATTTACGTTAGACTTTTTGTCGTACATATATTATATGCCGTATTGCATATTTAATATTTTGTAAGGCGCTATAGCGTTTTTTATTAACTCTTATTTTTTTTTTATGTATTCACCAATAAAAACTTGAAAAAAAATAAACAAAAATACATAAGTGACGATATTTTTTTGATATAATTTAAAAAAAAATAGTTTTATTTATTTATTGATTTTATAAATTAGATTTTCTTTCAATTAATTAATTAATAAGCGTGATAGGGAAATAAATTTTTACAGGCGATGCTTCCATTTTGAATTTTTTTTTTTTTCGGTTATTACAAAATAATGAGTTTAATATTATTATTATTAATTTCTCAGAAATTGTCAAAATCTTTTAAAATAGATTAATAAATAAATATATATATATATATATGTATACATAAGTATGACGTAATAATTAATAAACATTTGATGAATGACGTGGTGAATTGTGGTGTGTTTACATAAATTAATGTTGCAAGAAGACGAGTTATTTATTTATTTTATATCGATCGAGGTTATCGATACGAAAATGTATTAAATATTTTCCGTATCGATCGGAAAAAGGTAAAAAATAAAATAGAAAAAAAAATTTTATATTTTTTATAAATAATTTATTGAATTTTCAATATGATTGAAATTTTTAAAACTTTTTTCATCTGGGTAATATTGCGTGGGAAATCCTTCTCTTTCGATTTTCGATCTGAAAAAAAATTATTTATTTATTTATTTATCACCATCCCATAGAGTTTAAAAACATTTTCCTTTTCGTTTTCCATCACCTGTAACCGTTTTTATCAGCTACGTATGTTACAATTACAGGTTTTTCATCAGCATCGACGTATCCATAACTTCCGATTATCGTACCGTTTACATGTTTTTCTTCTTGACGATATTGTACATTTCCGGTTTCTGGATCTTCGACATCGTATCCGAATGCATAGGTACCAGGTCCCTCAAATAATAAACAAACGGGGTAAGTAATTTTTTTCATTTTTAACATTTAAATTTTTATTTTTTATTATTACCTGATAATTCGGTTTATAATAAGAGGTCCACGCGACAACAGTCAACCTACTCGTTGTTACTGGTATTGCTAAACATCCAACCGTTTTAATAAATATTAATATGGTAAATAATAATAATAGGTACCTGTAAATTTTATGTCAAAATAATATCGATTTTATTACTATTTATTATAATTTTCGCAAAAAAAAAAAATTTCGTGAAAAACAAATTCTATTTCAACAGTTATACAAAAAAAAATAAGGTAATAACTTATTAATAATAATAATATTATTATTACGTCAATGTTAATATATTAATATATTAATTATTACTAATAATAATAATTTTTAAAAAAATATATTTTCAATTACCGCGTAAAAAATTTCAAAAGGGCGAATTGACGATGGTTGTAATTTTATTACCATTTTTACTTTTTTAATGACATTTTTTTTTTTCCACGCGTACAACAGCATTTCCGTTTTAACCTGTCGTAATAAATTCTAGAATGATCCGCGAGTGTCGTTTACGTTATTTCACAATAATAATAATAATATTTTACTCGTTAATAAAAAAAATAATTTAATAAAATTCAATTTAACGCTTTAAAATTTAAAAAAAAAAATTACCTTTCTTTATTATCAACCCGAATAGAATAATAATAATAATAGTATTCAATTTCTTACGAATTTTTAATAAATTTTTTGTTTTATATATTTATGACAAATTATTTAAACAAATGAAAGAGTATAAAAAATAATGCCCCGATTTGCGATTTAAAAAAACTTACAAATGTATCTCACCGCGGATTTTGATTTAAAAAAATATTTTATTAAACTAATTATTACTTTATTATTATTATTATAAACATTTATTTAAAAAAAAATAGAGTTACATAAGTTAATAAACATTCTAATTTTAAAATGAAAAATAATTATTAATTTTTAATGTAGCGGAATCAGATTTAGTTACGGATTTAAAAAAAAAAAAAAAAACGGTGAAAATAATTATTAAAAACAAATTATACGTATGACAAACTTACGTGATTTAAATTGCCATTATTATTATTATTATTATAAGATGATGACGATGATGACGATGATGATGATGATGATACATGATGATTTTTTTTTTGTAACACTTCGTTCCGGTAAAATAATTTTTTTAAATATGATTTAAAAAATATTTAATTTTAATAGGTGATAGGTTTTAAGTTTTAAATATAATAGGGGCCTACCGCCATATTTTTTTTTTTTTTTTTTAATATACTTTTGAGAGGTGAAAGAAAACCGACCGTAGATTAAAAAATTTTCTTTTAGAAACATTTAAACCACTCGAAATAATTAATTAAAATTTTTATTTATTAAATACGCGTACATAAGTCTTATTAATGTTTAAATCGATAGGAAAAAAATAAACGAATTTACGATAAATAATAATAATAATAATAAATAAAAATTTATGAGAGGTCAACTTCAGATTCAATTAGTTTGATTCCGATAATAGGAAAAAAAAAAAAAATTTTTGTTTCTGTGGGTTGATTTTGTGGTCAATAAAAAATATTCTCACACAAATGATGATATTCTAGTTTTTTATTTGCTAGATTCATGTTTTTCCATTTCTGACTCCTCCATTCGTGTAAATTTTTTTTAAAATAAAAATTTGATTTAAAAAAAAAAAGAAATGTCGTTATTACGAATATAATCATTATTATTATTATTAAAGTTAATTTCGACGGTTAAAAAAAAGAAAAAAAAATGCGTAGGCGTATAAAAAGAACGAAATTAAAACGTTTGTAGTAGTTGTTAAAAAAAAAAAAAAATCATTATGAATTCGAATGAATAAAAATATTTTTATTTTTTATCTTCTGCTTGAATCACGTATTTTTGACATAATTTTTTTCTATTTGATATAACATAAAAAAAATATTAATAATAATAATAATTTTTTTTTTATTATAAATAAATTAAGATTATTTATTTTATTTCTTAATTTACCCACGAGTTTGAAAAATTTTTAGTGACGTAAATCTCTAAGAAAAATAAATTTATCAAATAGATGATATCTTTTATCGACACAAATAATAATGATAATAATAATAATAATAATAATATGATATATTTGACGGAGGATGAAATTTGGAAGAAAAAAAAAAAAAAAAGGTACCCGATTTTAAAATGACAAACTCTTAACAACTTTCAATTTATTTAAATTTTAAATACTTGTTTGTTATATTAAATTTATTCCCCGTATTATTATTATTATTATTATTATTATTATTATTATTATTATTATTATTATTAGGAAAAGTGGCCAAATGATTTGTTTTCTTTTCAAATACGAATTTCATAAATAAATAATAATAATAAGTCACACATCGTAACGAAAATGAAATTCCAGAAAAATTGTTTCCCCACTGGAAATAATTTTTTTTTTTTTCTACATACACACAAACCACGTGTCTTAACCGAAACAAACTTAAAATTATTATTATTATTATTATTATCAACATACACACACACACACACGAATCCGTAGAAATTTTTTTACAATTGTTTCCAATGTAAAAAAAAAAAAATTTTATAATGATTTTGATTACGCGAACGACGTAAATTACATTTGATACATACACACACTTACATAGGCGCGCGTTTATTTAGGTTAATACGAAATTAAAATACTTTGTAACAAACGCAAAAACAAACGAAATTGTTGTATCATCAGCTTTAAACAAACTCCAGGAAGGTACCTATTAAAAAAAAAAAAAAGAGAATCGTATTAGTTGTTGTATTCGTTTAAATTTTTTTTTTTTTTAGTTCGATCGATTTATCGAAAAATATAATAATAATAATAACTAATTTAAAAATTTCGTAAAGAATTTTTTTTTAATAGCAAAGAAGCAGACGAAAAATTTTAAAACAATTAATTAGGAATTTAAAATAATTCGTTATCGATTTAGACGATGATAAAATAAATTAGTCTGGAAAAATATTTAAAATAAATTTGAATTTTTCTTCATTTCGTTTTACGTGAATTTTTTCCGACAACCATTAAGTGATCTTGAATTTCCAAATGCAGACGACAAAATAAACATTTCTAAATTTTTACACGCACACGCACACGTGCACGTGCGCACATTCACCATATATCAATGCCATTAATTGTTATTCAAAAATTTTTTTCTTTTATTTTCTTTTCTCCTCTTTTAAAAATTAATTAAATCAATAAAGTGTCAATAATTGATCGATTTTTTTAAAATAATAATTATTATTATTATTTATAAATCGTTTGTTTTTTTGCCGACGTACAAAAAAAAATTATTATTATTATTATTATTAAATTACTCACAATTTAACAATTCACACACGAATCCTTTCTAACGATGACGCGTAATCATAATTATCACAGTAACAAATTGATTTCGAATTTTAACAAAAAAAAATTTTTTTTTTTTTTTTATTACGTCACAATGAGAGAACGTATTAAATTTGTTTTTTTTTTTTTTTTTAAACTCATTGTCTGAACAAAAACAACAACAACAACAAGAAACGGCCTATTTTTTTTTTTTTTTTTTTTTTTACTTTTTAATAAATCCTTATTTGCAAATTATTAATTATTCAATCGTCAACGTAAAAAAATTCTTTGAATGTTTCTGCGCAATGATGATAATAATAACGAGAACACAGAAGAAATTTAAAGGCAAATGGGAGTAGAAAAAGTTAAAAGGGGCAATATTTGAAAAGAGTAAACGCTTAAAATATGGCTACGGCGTGGAAAACTTGAAACGGAAGCGTTTATTACTGTTGATCAGGATCAAGCCTTGCGAACTTACACTTGTAAGGTACCCCAAGATGATATGTGTCGAATTTGCTACTCACTGTCGGAAACAATAGATCATTTAATTTCCGGTTGTCTGATACTGGCAAAACATGAATGCTTAGAAAGGCACAATAAAATTTGTCAATATTTCCATTGGAATACCTGTCGTGAATATGGAATGGATGGATTACCCAAAGAGTGATACAACCGCATTCCAAGCCCGGTTACGACAGTAAGTACATGTTCGGTTCTGTATAATCAACAAATTCACATTGATAGGACTGTGCCAGTCAACAAACGGGGATATCATCCTAAAGCATAATGCTGGAAAGTGGTGTAAATTAATTAAAGTATCTGTACCGGCGGAAAAAAACACCAGACAGGCAAAAAAGCGGACAAAAGGAAATAGAAATAGCCTGGATGTGGGGAAAGTAAAGACAGAAAGGATGCTCCGTGGGAGCACTGGTAGCCATGCCAAATTTAATGAAAGGAAATTTGAAAAAAAATTCCTCAAAAGAAACCGTACAGGAAATTGCGTAATATAGGACGGGCCACATTCTTCGGAAAATTTTATAACAAAATTTAAACATTTATTCCTAAGGAATCGGGTAGAAACCTGGAATAAATACTTAAAAACTCCGATAAGTACATGCAAAAACTTGTCGCGTTCAAAATTAATAATTCATATTTAAATCCAAGAAAAAAAAATAATAATTTGAACTTTTCTCGACAGTAACAACCCGGAATTAGCAAATTTATTATGTTTAGTTAATAAACAAGTTAATAATAATAATGATGATTAATAAGACTAAAAACAAAAACTTACTCGAGTGAAAAGTAGGAAAAAAAAAGTGAAAGAAAAAAAAATTATAACAAAAGTAAAAAAAAAAAAAGTTCATGGTCAATGTCATCGACAAGTTTTTATCTTACGTACCTACGTACGTAACAAAAACAAAAAAAAAAAATTATAAATAAAAGGTTTGATGAAAAGTAGTCATTCACAGAATGAATGTTTTTTTTTTTTTTGTAGTCATCATTCTGACTAATTTAAAAATGAACTCTAACTTTTTACCGTACACACTTGATGATTAGTCACTTATCAAAAGGTAAATCATTGTTTTATTAAAAATAAAACCATAAGAGTGAAAATGATAATAATAATGATAATAATAATAATAACGGGTTAAATCGAATTTGGACAAAGTTGTTAAGTGTCTCTTCTCTCGGTCCTTTCCACCATCCGTACCTTAACAATTGCATTCTTTCAAAGAAATTTTTTGTCTTGTTTTTTTTTTTTAAATTTAAATTATTATTATTATTATGATTCGCGCGTTATCATTTATGATAATAATAATAGTAATAATAATGGTTAGAACCGGGTTAAATTAGTAACTAAATTAAATTAACGTATTAGCATTGAAACGTCTGTCAACCCGAACTTGTTATATTATAACAATAATTTAATTTCTCAATTGTTCATTGTCTGAATCTTTTATATAAATTTATTATTATTATTATTATTATTATTATTATTATCATTGTGAACGTGATGAAATTTTCTTTTTTTTGTTCTTTTCCGTTATATAATATTAATAATAATAATAATGATAATCGAACGATGATGATGATGTTGATGTTGATGTTGGTTGTACCTTTTGTCTTCAGGTATACACTACCACTACCACTACTACTACCACCACGAGCACCTGTTTTTCACTCGGTCATTGTTACACTTCATTGTTAAAATTTATTACGTAATAATTTGTTAAAAATTTAATTTTTTTTTTTTTTTTTTATAAACAAAACGAATAAATCGCGTTTGTTTACCGAATTTTCTTTTTAAATTTCGAACGGGAAAAAATTAATCGATCGATTGATTGATTGATTTTTTTAATCGATCGATTATCGATATAATAATCGATTGATGGATCGACGATGTAAGATTTCGTTACGCAATTTTTTTTTTGTTATTTTTCTACCGAATTTATTATTAAACCTTTCTCTTTTTTTCTCTTTTTTACCGAAAGAAAAACAGGATTATTATTATTATTATTGATTAATATATTTTTAATAGTTTGTCAAGGGTAATTAATATATATTACCTGACGTTGGTTATGAGTAATAAAATGTAATTTTTCCTTTTGTTTTTTTTTTTCGTAAAATTCCAAAAATTAATTTGTTTTTTTTTAAACATTTTAAATTAAATATTACTTGAATGCCTTTTTTTAATAAATAGGTAATAAATAAGTAATAATTTTTTCCATTACTTATCTGTAGTAATAAAAAACAAAACAATGATACGACAAATTTTTCAATTTTTTTAAAAAAATGAAAGTTTAATAATTTATTAATAAAAAAAAAAAAATGTATTAAATTAGTTATGAATCGTTTGTATTGCTTAACTTTCCCCCCCCCCCCTTACCCCGTTTTTTTTTTTTTAATAATACTCAAAATTTTAAAACGAACCGAACTAAAATAATAATAATAATATAAATATAATTATCTATGGAAAATTTTCATTATTATTATTATTTTTTTTTTTTGTCACTTTCTAAAATGCAACAACAACAACAACAATTTATAAATAATTAAAGGCGTGAGCTGCACACATTCGTTAACTCAAAAATTTTTTTTTTTTTTTTGTTTATTATTATTATTTTTATGAAAAGTAAAGTTATGCAACGGTTAAAAAAAATATTATTAACATTATTATTATTATTATTATTTCGATTAAAAGAATTTATTTTAATTTTACCGTCGTAAATACAACATTTTTTTATTAATTTTGTTACACAAAATTACGACAGACGAGAAAAAAAATACAAAATTATGAAAAATAATACGTAGAAAACGAAAATGAAGAAAAAAAAAAAAAAATAATAATAATAATAATTAAGGGAAAAGTGAAAATATTATCTAACAAACGAAAACGAAAACGAAAACGACAAAAATAAATTTTTTTCCTTTGACCGATAAGAAGGTTTCAAGGTCAAATAATTGAAAAGAAAATTTTTTTTATTTTCTATATAATTTTCTAATTGAGTTTCTCGTTTTTAAAACGAACGAAATTCATTCAAATTCGATTCAAACCTCATGCATCATCGTACAATCGTACAAACAACAAAAACAAACGATCAAAACAAGGAAATGGTAAATTCTTTTTCGACAAACAACAAAATTTTTTTTTACTCTCTCCATAAATTCTCGATTTTTATTTTATTACCTAATTCTTTTTCGATAAACGACGAATTGATTGATTTATCACGTGATTTTTTAAACTATTTTTAATAACTACATACCGTTATTATTATTATTATTATTATCATTATTATTATTAAAAATTAATCCGTAATTTTGTCCAAAAGAGAATCAAATTAAATGACAAAATATTTTTTTTTAAATTTTATTTTATTTTACCAACGAATCTATTACGTAATTTTTTTTTAACGTTTAAATAATTTATCGATTGAAAAAATGTGTCGTTTATATGTATAAATCAATAATCGATAAATTTATTAATTAATATTATTATTAATGTAAATTTTTTCTAATATATTAATTTTTTTTTTACGTCGGTAAAAACGAAACAAAACAAAACAACTTTTTTTTTTTGTAACACTTCAACCGAGTACTTAACATTTAGACGTTTTAATTATTATTATTATTATCATTATTATTATTATTATTAAAAATTATTAACATTTTAACACACGTGTTTGACAGTGAGTTATAATATTTTAAATTAAAATCTCTACTCAATCTCACTCAATTAAAACGAAACACAAAGAATAATAATTATTAAAATAATTTTTATGTTTGTTTATGAGTAGTAAACCGCCACCACCACCACCGCCACCTCGTAAATTTTAATCGAATAAAAGGATTCGATATCGATTCGATTCGATTTAAATTTTTTTGATTTTCACTTTCGCGACGTTAATTCACTTTTAAATTGTTACGTAGAGTTTTCACAGAAAAAAAAAATCGTAACATTTTGTTTTTTTTTTTTTTTTTTTTTTGCGATTTCGATTTTTCGATTCGATTCCTCGATTTAACTAAAAATATTTATGCCCCCTTTTTTGTTTATTTAAAATTATTTAAACAAAAAAAATTTAAAAGTTGAGGATTCGGAGGGTAAGGATTTTGGTTTCGAATGACAAAGAAATTTTTTTTTTGTTTAATTTAAAAAAAAAAACATTATTTATGAAAAAATGAAAATTTTTATTGTTTTTTTATGAACTAACAAAAATAATAATAATAATAATAATATTGAAGAGAATGTATCAACAAATTCATGAATAAAAATTAATTCACTATTTCATTCCGTGTCGTTTAATGATATCCGTGGTATGGAGCAACGTAAGCATGATGTTTAACAACGGGTACAACAACTGGAGCTGGATGAACGGCTTTACCGTGCCTGAAACATTAAACGAATTTTTAAATAATTCGAAAAATAATAAAAGTTCAATGAACTTTTGATTTAAACTTCTTCTAATAACAAATATGTAAAAGCGAAAGGACTTACTTGGAAACGACAGCATTGAATCCGTTATGATGGTCAGCAGTATATTCAACAGTTCTTATGGTACCGTCAGGTTCAACGAGGCTGTAATGTCCCTTAACAACATCTCCTTCTCTTGTTTCGTGTTGGGATTTGATATCTCCGGTATGAGCATCATGAACTCCATATTGGAAACTGTAATGGGGTGGTGCCTAAAAAAGTAGGCAATAAAATCAAACTCACTTCGGCCAAAATCAACTTTTTCACGAAAAAAAAAAACTAAAATTTTTACTTACGTAAGGTTCGTGTTTTACCAAAACAGGAGCGTGAACGGGAACGTGAGCAACATGTGCAAAATGAGCTGGATAATGAGCAAATTCGCCAGCTCCGACAAAGGAAGCAACGGCCAAAACACAGGTAGCAACCTGTAAACAAAAAATTTTTTTTTCATTTTCACTTCAAAACTAAACTTTTCCCGAAAAAAAACAAAAAAACAAAAAACGAGCCGTTAAATATTCCAAAATGTCGATTTAAAATTTAAAAAAAAAAAAACTCACCAAAAAGTGGTTCATTTTTATTTTTTTATTTCTCTTAAATAAAATACAAAGGATTGATTGTAAACTACTACTGGATAATGATTCGTAGGTACCAACAAGTATTTATACCTGCCCTACCAATGTAATATTTAAATTGAACAACAATATTTTTAACAATAATTAAAAAGACATATATATCGGTTACCGAAATATTATTATCGTAATGGCGGCCGCGGTGGTGGTGGTAATAAACGCATTGAAACTGAAAATAAAAAAAAAAAGATCTTGAGTAATTTTTTTTTTTGTTGTAACACTCGAGTGGTAATTTAGGTAAAAATCATGGGTTTTCACATATATAATTTTTTTTTTGACGGTGTTTGTTGACAATATGGCGGATGAATTATATTACCTTAATACAAACGAAAATTTTTTTATAATTTCTTTTTTTATTTTTCTACCGGATGTTTGTACTTTTTTTTCTTTACCTTCAAACAAACTTTTTTAATTATTATAACTTATTATTATTATTGTTATAAAAATCATTTCAAGGCTTTTAAACATTTTCTTTTATAAATTTCTACAATTACGTGAACTTTTGTTTTCGACGCTTTTTTTTTAAAATTAAATTATTATTATTATTATGTTGTTTTGTTTTATTTGAGAAAATTCGTTAAACAAACAAACAAACGTAAATTTTTAAACCTTAATTTATGAGAATAAATATTTTTTTTTTTTATACTGATATCAAAACATTAATTTTTTAAAAAATAATTTTAAGCGCGTTAAAAAATTATTATTATTATTATTATTATTATTATTATTTTATATTTATTTAAATAATAATAATAATAAAAAGTTTTTTTGTTTACGAACAAAATAAATAATTGTTAAGTTGAGCAACGATGAAAATTAATAAATAAAAAAAATTTTTTTTTTTAAACAATCACTAAATAATTATAATAATTGTTGTTGCCACAAATATTCGTATTAAAAAAAAAATAACCAACAACCGTGTTTAATTATTTATTTATTTATTTGTTTGTTTGTTTGTTTGTTTGTTTGTTACAGTTTGATTTTTCATGCGGAGACCTTTTTTTTTTTCGTTATGTAATCGGTATGTAAATTACCATAAATATTTGATGCGATGATATTTATTTAAAAAAAAACCGTTACAAAAAAAAAAAAATTGAATGTGATTTTTTTTAAACGTTTTTTTATTTATTATTAAAAATAATAATAATAATAATAATATAAATTCATAGACTTTTACGTATAAATAATAATAATAATTTTTTTTTTAAATAATCGATAAATTTGATTTTATTTTTTGTTATTTTTTTTTAAATTAAAAATTAATTAATTAAGATAATAATAACAATTTTACTATTATTAAATAGAGTGCGATAATTTTATTAAAAATTCCAATTAATAATTGTTTACGGTTAATTTATTATTATTATTATTTTTTTATTATTATTAATTAGTTATGAAAGTTAAAATTTTTTGCGGGGAAACCCTAATTTTTTTGTTTTTGCAAAAAATTACCGTTTGTCTCGTTTGTTATTAATTTTTCGCGAATTAAATTTTAATTTTGTTGTAAAATTTGGTTTTCCCGATGCTTACGATTTGAAATCACAAAAAACAAAAAAATTCATAAAAAGGGAAAAATGAATTTTCGGCCATTTTTCGGGCATTTACAAAAAAAAAAAAAATACGATTTTTTTCGATAAGGTAAATCTGTTTTTAAAAAAAATTTTCTTTTTAATTTACACGTGTAAAAAAAAACAATAACAATAGCAATGTTCCCAACAAAACAAAAGAAAAAATCCCGCGAAACGACATTTTTTTTTTTTGTAGTTTAAAACTATGACAATCATAAATAAATTAGCCTCATTTTTTTGCAATAAATAACAAATTAACCATGTGCAACATAAAAATGTTTTACCTTAATAAGTTTTTATCATAAGAAAAAGTTAATAATTAATTAATGAAAAAAAAATTAAATAACAATAATAATGATTTTATTTTCATAATAATCAATTTATACAAATAAATCGATTGTTTAAAAAATAAGGAAAATTATATGAGAACCAAATAATAATAATACTAATAATAAAAATAGTTCTGTGTCATTGGAATCCAACAACATTCACTTTATTATTACACACGACGTTTTCCATTTCATAATTTTTTTTATTGGACAAAAAATTTTATGTGACAATTTTGTTTTTTTTTTTTTTTTTAAATTGTTCAGGCGTTGTTGTTAGCTTTCTTTTTTTTTTCAAATGTTTAATTAAAAGTTTTTAAATACTATGAAAAAGTTTTATAAAAAGTACCCTCGAGTGTTTTTCAAGGTTCATTTTTTTATTATTATTATTATTTTAAAAAAATAATTTTTTGATTTTGTAATTTCGTTCATATACCTTTCCAATATTTCAAAAAAAAACAAAACTGATCATGAACTGTCAGTTATTAAATGTCTGTTTAGCTTGTTTATATTATTCTAATAATAATATTATTATTATCATTAAGGGAATTAATTAAATATATGTATAAAAATTTAAGTAATTAACGACTCCCCCCTTTAAGCTCTCGTAGTACGAAAAATTAATTTTTTTTTTTATCACTTATTATTAAATGATTTTTGTGAGGGGTGAGGGGGTGGTTCATGTCCCGATACGCTAGGGAATTTAAATAATAATATAATAATAATAATAATAATATTTTTTGACGTTTGTTAACGACGTGAATTATTTTATACTTTTATTTTTGACCTTGTATAAATTAATTGTTACTTAAATAATTTTTTATGCGGTTAATTTTTTTCAACGTAAACTATATAATTATTTATATATATATATATATTAAAACTAATATAATTTGTTTATATATTATTATCTTAGTTATAATAAATTGTTTTCCGATCGGATTTATCAAGTTTAGCAAGTAGTTCAAATATTCGTAAATTGTACGACAATTTAAAAACGTTTTCATTTTTTTTTTTTTTTTAATTAAAAAAGATTTTTTTAGTGTTAGATAATGTTATGTTACAAACAACATGTTACATTCACATAAATATTGTAGTGACTATTAGTTAGTTACGTCACAATACCATTGTTTTCTTTATATCGATACATGCAAACTTTAGTTTGCAAATCAAAACTCGCTCCTTTTTTAAAAAATTTTTTTTTACTTTTGTTTAAAAAATTAATTTTTTTAAATTTATAAACAAATGAACCAATTAATTATTTATTTAAAGGTAATAAATTCGTATTTAAAAAAATATTTTTTAACCTTATAAAACATCAAAAGGTAAATAGTAGTAGTGATAACAAAAAAAAAAAAAATTTTCATCAGGTAGTAACCAAGAAGGTATGCCCGAAAAATTTTTGTTTCCGCAATTATTAAACCTATAATTGTTTAAAGAATCCCTCTATAAGTTAATAATAATAATAATGATTTTGATACGAATAATAAATTAAAAACAAAAAAATTTAAATTTATAATTTTTTTTTTTTTATTAACAAATTTTTGTTTCATTATCAATCATTAATTAGTGCAATTTTTTTTTTTTTTGTTTACCACGATGATAATAATAATACGTGAATATTTTTAAAAATTCTTTAAGTGAGATACTTAAAATATATTTTAATAACAAACTCATAAAATATTTATAACAAAAAAAAACATAAAAAAACATAACAAACAAACATTTTTTTTTTTTTTTAAATTAAAAAATTTTCCCGCTAACGTGTGTGATTATTATTATTATTATTATTATTATTATTTTAAAATCTATTATTAATTTAATATTCAAGTATTAAAATTAAAAAATAATAATAATAATAATAATTTTGCATGATTTATGTAAAAAAAAAAATTTATCGATTTTTTTGATTTGACGCACGGGAATTTAATATTGATAATTTTCATTGTAATTATCAAAAAAATTTTCGTTTGATTCCTGTGACGTCATAGTAAACGGTGATTGACGTAAATGATTTGGTTTGATTATATGTACGGTAGCTTGAAATCCATTTTTAGAATCAGCTGTATAAACAACCCTTCTTATAGAACCATCTGCTTCCAAAACGGAATATTCCCCCTTGACGACATCCCCGAATCTTGTTTCTTTTTGATTTTGATAATTTCCAGTTTTTGGATCTTGTACGTCATAAGCAAAACTATAATCCGTTTCGGCCTGTAATTACATTTAACAGCGGTTAAGAAATTTTATTATTATTATTATTATTAAACAATTCGAAAACGATTATAATCGCGGTAAGAATAAAAAAAAAAAAAGAAAAATTTCGACAAAATTAGGCGATTGTTTTTTTTGTTTTACGACGGTTGTTGTTGTTGTTATCATACGTGTGCAATTTAGGTTTTTAACCCGAGTCGTTGTAAATCATTAAAATCCATTACAACGCATCTAAAATCAACTGAAATCAATGGACAATAATAAAAGTTGACTAATCCGGCACAATTTTTTTTTATTTTTGGTCTCCACACACACACGCACACACACACACACACACACGCACACGCATACACACATTCACACACACGCACGCGCGAATGCGGATTCAAAGTTTTGAATTATCTATTCATACATAATCCTTAACACTACGAAAAAAAAAAAAGTTACTTTGTTTAACAAGAAGGAAAAAATAATAATAATGTTTGAATGAAATGCAAAAAATGAATTATGCCACCGAAAATCATGCCAACAAAAAATGTTGTTTTAACTTTAAAAAAAAAAAAAAAAACATGACAATTGCACCTGATCTAAAAATATCCATAGTATTGTGAATATATATCGAAAAAAAACAAACCTTGAATGTAATTTTATTTTCTAAAAAAAAAACCGACCGAAGGTCAAAAAACTTTCATTAACAAATATATATAACATAATTTTTGAAGGGTTAAGGGTTTCATAGTACGTTAATACTGGATTAATCAGGGTCAAGGCCCCTTTGGAGTAAAAAATGCTAAAAATTACGAACAATAATAATAGTACCCACATTTGGAAAATGGGAAAATTTTTTTTTTTTTTTTTTTACTTTTAATTATACAGGATGAAAAAAAAAACAGAAAAAAAGAGAAAATTTAATAAATTAGATTATGCGACACGATGCATAGTAGGCCAGGGACGTAGGTAGGTAAATAGGTATTATTTTAAATAATAAAAATCGATCGATGAAATCAATATGCAAGGTTACTATATTATACGATTTGTAGTTACTTTTCAAATATCGAAAAATTAAGAAATTACCAATTACTACTACTACTACTACTGCTGCTGCTGAAATAATAATTTTTTAAAATTTATTTATTTATTTTTTTTACGACATTTTCATTTCATAACGCAAAACATAATTGAATTTTTTTTTTGTTTCCTATGATGACAGATTTTTTGTTAATTACGTAACGTTCTACTTCATGCCATCTTAATTAACTGGGTCTCAACTCGATTCCCTAATACTTTTATTTATTTATTTATTTAAAAAAAATTATCAATCAGGTATTTAATACCTATCCTGCAAAAAATTTAAATAATCGATTACGTTCTTCCTGTTAATACATTTGTTTTGTTTTTTTTGTCTGAGAAAATAAGAATCATAAGAAAAGTTTTGTATTTCAATTCGATTAATTATTAATTATTTTAATTAACAAAAATAATACAGTAATTATTAACTTTTAAACGTGAATTTTTATACAACTTTTAATATAATAATAATAATAGTAGTAAAAATAGTAAACATTTTATGCTGCCATCTTGCGGGCGATACCTAAAGTATATTATTTCAAGTGAATAATAAAAAATTTTTATTTTAACCGATAAATGTCGTTAGTTTTGCTTTAACTCAAAACGCACGTTAAATTTGTTTTTGTCTAAGAGCAGAAGGCAATTAAGTAATGGTGTTGTAAGTACTATGATTATTTATTAAAAACCGATTTGTGGTTATTTTGTTCTTTTAGAAAATTAGTTTTTCTTTTGAGGAAATGGTTTTAAAAGAAAATACAATTCGAAAGAAAACTTACATAAATAAAAAAAAATTCGTTAAAAATAATTCAAATTGCAAAATTCCCTAATTATAAAGAATGAAGGGATACAGCTGTTGATTCAAATCGTATATATAAAATTTAATATTAATAATAATTCAAAAGGAAACAAACAAACAAACGCGTGCACTCATTCACTCACTCACGCACAAACATACAAACACACACACAAAAGGACACAAATTTTAAACAACCAAAAAGTAAAATAAAATAAAGGAAATATAAAACCGTAGAAAAAAGAAAGAAAAAAAATTTTTTTTTTTTTAGTTTTTAACTTTTAGTAGTTAAAAACATCATCATTATCATCTGCCACGACGTTTATGATTTTGTAAATCGAATAAATAAAATATCGAAAATATTTCTAAACACTTCCGGTTGATTTAAAATTTAATAATAATAATAAAAACTTACGGAATCATCGCTGGAAGATGACGAAGATGAGGATTCATAATTAGAATTATTATAACCGGAATCATAATCATCATCATCATCATGATCATAATTATTTTTTTCACTACCGGAAATAGAAGAATCGTAAAATTTATTATCGTAATTAAATTCTTCTGGCATTCCATTAATTAAAATAAATTTTGATAAACATAATGTTGTAAAAACTACCTGGAATTAAATTATTTTTATTAATTTTTAATAATAATCAAAAACCTTCGATTTTTTTTTTTAAAATAAAAATTAACTTACCTTTATGGAAAACATTTTTGTTTGTTGTTTGTTTGTTTGTTTCTTAACTGATTAAAAATGATTATGATTCAAGTGAATGAGTTTTTATGCATTTATATTGTCGTGAAAATAAAAAAAAAAACCGCCAAATAAATTATGTAAAAATTTTATTTCAGGAAGCCATCATGTTTTTTTTTTTATAAAAATTTTTGACGTTGAAAATTTTTCGGTAGAAAAATTTCTTATTCTTTTTTATTCTATAGAGAAAATAATAATAATAATAATTTTAAAGAAATCCACGTGTGATAATCACGTGATATTAAAATTATTTTCTTCTGTTATGAAAATAATTATGATAACAATCATGTTAGTGTAGTTATTTGCCCAAATTTTTTGTTTTTTTTTTTTTATATTTTTATTATTTAATGTATTTTACATTACTAATAATAATAATAATAATAATAATAATAATAATAATAATAATAATAATAATAATAATAATAATAATAATAATAATAATAATAATAATAATAGATATTTCATTTTTTAAAAAAAACCAAATGAAAATTATTATTAATTAATATTTGATAGTTTTTTTTAAATATGGCGGCGGTAAAATTTTAAAAATATTCATTCTCTATCCTTTTCTACCTCAACAAATTTTACATTACGCCAATTTCACACCATTATATCATATATTATTTTTTTGGATTTTTGGAGAAATTTTATTTCGTAGTATCTAAAAAAAAATCATCTTCATCAGAACGTCGATATTATAATTAGTCTTTATTATTATTATTTATCGTTTTAAATCATCATCATCCATCATCATCCATCACTCGTTTACTCGTTTACTTATTTAAATGCAATTATTTTTATTATTAATTTTTTTTTAATAAAAAAATGGTAATGAAATTTTTGTTTTTTTTTTTTTTTAATTTCAGATATTATTATTATTAATTTATTATTTAATTTTTTTTGTCGTTTTTTTGTTTGTTCGTTCGACAAACAAAAAAAAAAAGCAACAAACATTTTTAATTTGACCATAAATTTTTTTTTTTTTTATTATAAATTAAAGATTGAACCGTGCACGACGCCTGCAGCTGGCGTGCAATGCATTATAAATACACCAAAACAAGACGAATTTATGCTTCGGCGATTAGAATTATATTTCGCCATATGGTCCGTGTAAATTTTAAAATTTTTAACGAATTTAACTCGTTATAAACGCATTATAATCGCATCGAATAATATCTTAAATATATTTATAGCCGCGGCGGTACCGCAGTTTGATCAATACACAAAACGGCTCAATTTTTTTTATAAGTAAAAAATTATTATTATATAACGTTATTCGTAAATAATATTATCAAATAAATAACGGAAAAAAGAAAAATTTTTAATAAATAAATATCATCAAATGAATTATTTAAAAAAAAAGAATTAAAATGGAAAAAAACGGTTATTCGAATCGGCGATACGAGCGCCAAATGAATTTTTAAAAAAAAAAAAATTAAAATGGAAAAAAAACGGTTATTCGAATCGGCGGTACGAGCGCCGAATGTAAACTCGGCATAACGTTATAGAAAACAAAAGAGCGTGTTAGAAAGGAAGTGAGTTGAAGCCTAAATTATTGGGATAGGACGAAATCCTATGGAAGCTTATGGATCGTTAATATAGTGAGGGGTTATTTACGGGGGGAGGGGTAGAATGCGAGGAGGAAGGAGGAGGGGAAAGGGGAAGGATGGAGAGGGAAGGGAAGGGGAGGGGAAAATTTTATGACAGAAGGCTGTGCGCGCAAACCTTCCCTCCGTACAGTTGCGTGCAGAGAGTGGAGAGTTGAACGTTTTGTCGGATTTTTTTTTTCGTTTTCCTTTTTTTTTTTTTTTCCTCCTGTTTTATATATATAATTTTTTTTTTTGTACTCTCTTTTGTCAGTTAGTAACATGCGGGATTTTGAATGACAGTGGTGACATCTTTTCTTTTTTTTTTTTTCCTTTTTCCTCTTTTTAAAAAGAAAACAAAAGTTTACAATTATTTAATTAATTAATTTTAAAGAAAAAAATTTTTGTTTTTACTCGAGTTTATGTATATAATTTTTTAATTGAAAATGTAAATAGTTATGAATAATGGATGATTTCGGTTAAGGTTGGTACCACTTATTTTTTTTCCGTTATTATTATTTGTTTTGCTTTTGATTTCGTGCAAAATTTTTTTTTCACCGGCTTTCGTTTCGCTTTTCTTTTTTTTTTTGCTTTCGTAATATTAATAATTTAACGGTTTTTATTTTTGGTTTTTTCTTTTTTTAAATGGCGGAATATTATTATTTAAAAATTTGAAAATGGAAACCTCAAAAAAAAAAAAAATGATTTATTTATTATTACACAATTTGTGATTCGGCTTTGCACAAACAACCCTGATTAGGATGAATGCAAACGAACATAAATTATTAACTGATGAAGCAAAAAAAAAAAAACCGCGAAACTAAAATCGTATTTTACACATCGTTAAATTATTATTATTATTGAAAAAAAAATTGACCGTTGAACAACAACAACAAATTGTCGATTAAATAAACAATTTATAATTATTTAATTGATTTCCTGTAATCAAATAATAATAATA